GCCAGTGTTATAACTAGATATAGAAATACGATTTTTTCCCCTTTCTTTTCGCTGCCTCAGCATTTTAACATCCAATTCCAACATTTTAAAGAATATTCATCAGATATTTATTTTGCCAATCGATTTTTCTACAGGAGAGTGAAGCATTTTGATAACGTGATTGTCTATAGATAATAAAAATTTTAATCTAAATATTCCAATCCCCATGAGCATCCATAATTATTCTCCAGGTGGTAATCTCAGACGATAAAACTAAGCAAAACACAACAGTGGTTCCTTAAAATCTGGGATTGTGGCGACCCCCACAGTTCACGTATTCGACAATAAATAACGAGATTCCATGATGTTACGTGTTCCTGTGTTCAGAGAGGTGACATTTGTTGAGTGGTCAGACGTGTGTACATTCATTCAAATTTCAATGTCGTTGGTAAAGAGTTGTGTTTAGACCTTCTCTTATTTGAAATGTACATGCCTCTTTAAATAACCGTCATAAAAGCGAACAAAATGACGTAACGTTGTAATATAGCAGTGACACGTCGCCATTTCTGTGATATCATATATTTGTCTGTTCAGAAGCATTTAAAAACAGGTTACGCGCCGGTTATTGAAATTTTTTTTTCCCGAAAAATATCCAGAAGTTTATAATACGTGTGGCAACCATGTCATTTCTATATGTTGTCATTGTGCAAGCATTTAAGTTTTTGCCATTTCTCTGTGTTATTAATAAATATCTTATAAATTCATGACATATAGTCTATATTTAAACCTTGCCAACCCAATATTTGTTTTGATCAATATTCACACGTGGCGCAGCGCGCACCAAGTTATATATATCTACCCCAATGTAAATATAAAACAAGACCTTAGATGTCACCAATTTTACAACATATTTACACGTGAGGCAGCGCGCACCAAGTAATATATATCTACCCCAATGTTAATATAAAACAAGACCTTAGATGTCACCAATTTTACAACATCGTAAAAAAAATCGCGTCAATTAAACGATAGCAAAGAACATGTGCATTTCTGTGGCACGGATGGTTGTATGAAATAGAAATTATATCTTGTGTTTTGTGTCAGCAAACAGTCACGTGATTTTGAGAAACAATGACGAGTTGCTAATGCACATTGTATCCTAGCCGGCTTATCTGTTAAGTGACCTTTGACTTTTCGATTTTCTTCCGTTAAATTGGTCTACCATGTAGACCCCGGACTAATCAGCCTGACACCTGGGCCCCACGGGACCGGCAGTCGATTGTCCTAGCTGACAGACGTTCCCGCCATGTCATTGAACCGTCTGGTTGGAGTTGGTACAAATGCAGAGCAACACATCTCCGAGATGGAAAGCATCACACTCATCAAGGTTAGGTTACGTACAGTTATCCTCAGCGCGATACGGATTCAAAAAATAAATAGTTACGTTTGCCTTTCTATGTAAACTTGCCAAAACATTTGTGATACAAGATACCATGTCATCCAGCGCGTGACCATTATGACATCAGTGTTGTCGGCATTGGTGCTTTGTTGTCGATATGGCTCTTCCAATTGACGGATTACACTGCCGTCAACGATTTATCAATTTTAGCATGAATAAAACCGTAATCAAAATAAGGAAATCAAATGAGCAGGGAATATATATACACCATTAAACTGTACTGTTGCGGTAAATATGGTAGTTAGTTTTGCCTGAAATTCACCAGTTTTCGTTAACTACAGAGCTCTGGCATTTATAACGACCATTAATGCCATATGAATACAGTTTAATAATTAAACAATTGATAATCATACACTGCTGCCGTCAATATTTCCTACCAAATCAGGAAGATTTGTAAAATTCACACAATAGTACCGTACGATACCTCAATTTGTATCAATGTTTCAACTTTTAAATTCTCGAAAAGAAATTAAGTTGTACCTGAGTATATTGATCAGTGAAGCTTAAGAAAATCAAATAAAAACACCAACATGATTAAATACGAGAAATTGTCTCAAAGTCCGTGTTTTTTCCCGCGGTATATTCTATATTTGATGCGTATGCAAAGAAAGATAACTCATGTTCATTGTGTTCACTAGATATGTACACACACAGTGGCTTGCTACAATTCTATACTTCTTTAACCTTAAAGGTAAGATTGTTAAGTCTCTGATTTCTTCGTCTCGAGTTGAGATAAACCGACCGTATCCTACTGCTAGAGACAAGCAGGTGTTGAGTAAGTCCTCAAAATCTGTCCCAAAGGAAGAATATGGGCGTTCTAGACAGTCAATTGTAAATAATTGTAACATGTTAATGTTTTGTACTGTTATATATTGCTTTTATTAATTATTTAGGTATATAAGCATGTTTATCAGCCTTTAGACTGTCGAATGTTCTGCTCCGCCGATTTGAAAATTCAACAGCAGCTTTTGTTTGTGTGACCAGATATATATATATATAATCACATGTTGCGCTCGTTTTAGTTAGTCGGAATAGGTTGGCACTAAATCGGGCGAGTGTGGGTTGTTTTACAGGCCATACGAATTACGTTTGTAATTATTGATGTGTACAGCTGAAAACGGCATTTTAAACAAACAGAAAGGCTTTGAACGGCAGCTATGTATGGCCTGAAATTTGATACCTTATGTTAACGAATTTTTGGTGAATTCATTATACATTTATGAGCCGCAGTGTTTTCCGTTTAAGTATACATTCAAATTACATCTGACTGACGGTTAAAGCGAGCTTTATTTTAACACAATGTCTAAAAGACACGGAAACATCTAAATATCCAACGTCACTTTGTGATATACATTTTATTTGATCAATTAAAAGATTTTTTAAATGCCTTTCAAGGCGTTGGTGATGGAGTTCATGCCTACACACGAACATATTCAACCACGGATTCTACAGCCATAGACCAATTTTGCAGCAATATCCCTGTAAAATATATTACATTTTAAACAAAACACAAGCAAATGTATTCATTTTGAGTGCAAAGTTAACATTTGTTAAGAAAGCTAGCTGAAACTTTATTGATATAGCTGTTTTAGTCAAAATGTATACGCAGTATTAATCAACATTATATTTACAACATGCATTTATTTGTGTCGACCCCGTGGGAGATAAGTCTTGGCTCTATACGCTATGGACAATCAAATAAGGTTGTTATTTAACATATTATACAGATACCGTATCATATATATATATACTGTCAAACACAGATTTAGCTGGTGGAACTTGATGGTTACATTCAGGTGTATATGTTAGTATTGTGTAACGGTTAACTGGTAATCAGTCTCTATATATTTATTCAAATGAAGCCGTGTCTACGAGATGCTAATTAGTCTCTTTAAGTCCCAATATCTAGGTCTAGAGATGCTAATTAGTCTCTTTAAGTCCCAATATCTAGGTCTAGAGATGCTAATTAGTCTCTTTAAGTCCCAATATCTAGGTCTAGAGATGCTAATTAGTCTCTTTAAGTCCCAATATCTAGGTCTAGAGATGCTAATTAGTCTCTTTAAGTCCCAATATCTAGGTCTAGTAACGCATAATAAAATAGTCATTGTGAAATGTTTAACTGTAAACGGAAAATCTGTGTGCTAGTAAATGATTTTTATGTATTTATTCTCCAGTTTCAAACAAAAAATATTAGAGACAAAAATTAAGACCAAATAATAATAATAATAATAATAATAATAATATGTATTTAAAAAAATATGTATGAAAAAAGATGTCCCAGTTGAGCTTTGAACCCTGTAGCCCTAAAATCGTCCATTGTTTAAACTACTTACAGTTCGCCACTGTTATCTGACTTTTGCCCTGATTTAGCGATGAGCTTAACTTTTCAATTATGTACTTTCGTGGATATCATTCGTCTATGAACTGAAAATGCCTCTAACAAACAAGTATTTGTTGCCGATACACTATTTCACGTGGGTGTCGCCACCTTGTTACGTTATAAATACGCATGACCTTGACGGCGAACAAATAAGAAAATGACGTGTAACCACGATTTCGGAACAAGAACGTCATTTGTGTTGAATTATGTTCTCGTATTAGACATATTTCTTTTGAAGGTAATCAACTTTTGTTTTCATTTTTAAATTAAATGAAGAGATACCGAGAAAAGAAAAGTAAACAATCAATACCAAGTTTATGCTTACACAATTTATCTTTTTTAGCGTGATCGTTCACAAGCTTTGCAATACTGACTCATTCAAACGCACAGTTAACCTATATAGCGATGGGAGATCGCAGTCGACTTGTTGGACTTTAAACGTATATTTCCGTAAATAAAGCTTGTTTAATGTCGATCATCTAATTAAGTCAGGATATACTCCGACCAGTTGTTGTTTAGTCGTTACGGTCATAATAAAAATAAGATTTTAAAACAAAACAAAAACAGAAAAAAATACAACACATATACATTGTAAGTATATATACGTAAGTTTTAAGTTGGTTCTGTGAACGTGCAGGTTTCAAATGTAATCGTCAGACATCTATGTACATCATTGCTATACCCTGTGTATCGTTTGATCCGATGAAGAGAAACTGTTATCATATTTTTGGTACAAAATGTGTGCAATTTTGTACCACACATCGGCATATTCATCACATCCCTGACGTACTCATCACACCCCGACGTACTCGACACAACCCCGGGATATTCGTCAAATTCCATGGTGATCACAAATTATTATATATATACTCACACACATTTCACGTAATTTGTCGTTATTCACAAATATCACGTCATTTGTCTTTAGTCACAAATATCGCATCATTTTTATTTATTCACAATTATCACGCGATTTGCCTAGTAAATGGCAAGGCGAAATTGTAACAATCTATTATGTTTACTTTAACGTTTGATAAGTCCAACAGGATGTATATTACATAAACGTGATACTAAACATTGCCAAATAAACATCACACATAAGGCACACATTAGTGGAATACACAAATAATTGCGAAGAACATCTGATGCGTAACGTGCTGACAGTACAGATACATATGTACGTCACTTCCGCTGGTCGCGCTGATAGCCTTTCACAAAGTCTTGAAGACAGAGCGCGCCATCACGGTCCACGTCGTAGCGGGTAATCATTCGTTGAATGTCCTCGTCAGTTTTGACCTTGTTCAGTCGTTCCAGCGTCGTCTCGATATCGTTCTCTGTAATCATTCCATCGCCGTCCAAATCCAGGGAATGAAAAATGTCCTCTATATCTGTTTTACTAGATAAACGAAACAGATGTATAACTATAAACTAGCGTTCTTTTTGTTGTTTTTGGATTTCATTTACATGTTGTACTATATTTCGTATTATATCTCTTGTAATATCGATTATTTCATTGTTATTACTCGCCACTTAGACGTAATTATATTTCAAGTACATGTAATTATACAGTCTAACCTCCTTATCTCGAACTCGTATAACTCAAAGACCCCATTTAATTCGAGTTATTTTGTCTGCCCCGGCCAAACCTTTCGCAAAACATTCGATCTCAGTTAAATTAAATACCCAGATAGTTCGACGTTTTCCAACGGTTCCGTCGACTTCGAAGTAACGAAGTTCAACTTTATTCGTACTAACTGAAACGACTCCAGAATGGTTGCTTATTTATTATGTTTTTCGTCGATCACACGTTAGATCTTGTAACGTCTGTTGTAAGTGCTACCGTGTATTTTGTTGTGTTTCATTATAGCTATATCTCGAAAAAGATATGTGGAGAATAAAGAATGTTATGTAAACTATTTGTTACTTGTTGGGGTGAGCATTATGCTAGTCATTAAATCTATCAAATTGTATATATCTATGTATACCAAATTATCATCAAATTATACTTAACACCTACCGTGTGAATTCGTTGACAACTGCTATTTATCTAGAGTAAACATTGCATGCTGTTGTGTGTTTACATTGTATGCTATCCTTGATGTTTACGTAAGATGTTGGGTGGTGTTCACATGTTATATTTGTCTGATGTTTGTATTACCTACAGCTCGGTGTTAATATTGGATGCAACTTGTAACGAATTATTATTGGTTACGTGTTGTTTCTGTTAAGAAATGACATGCTGTTTGTTGTCTCCAGAATATCGTGAATATATAAACTTAGTTATCAGTACATTATGTGTTATGGTTTTTGCTTCTTCGTCAATCTTTTGAGAGTAATATGTACGCCAACTTATTTACAAGTAAAGGTACAGTGTATGTTTACATCCTTAAATTCTATATATTTACCAGTACTTTTGTAGTTTGCAGACTTATTTACTTGTTCACCATTACACGAGTACTTACGTCCACTTTCTACTGTCCACTTTACACATCTCCGTCATGAAGGCATCCAGTGTAACAATGAGGTCCTCGTTAGGGTTCAGATCCACAAACATTCTCTGAAAAAAAATCGTATACTGCCAAATGAAAGAAAGACAAAAAGCCGCTTAATTAGTCAATTCAACAAGGTGTAAATTAAAAATATGATTAGTCAACAAAACAAAAAGTTAATCTTCGATAATGATTCGTCCCAATTCGGATAATATGGTGATGATGTATGAGTTTTTTGTCAGATGGTCGTATTCGGTTTTATTCTTGTTTAACATCACTTTGGCAACCATTCGTTTCTATCACGACACTCTTGCAATATGTTATATCAAAATATCAATATTATCAAAATATATCATAATAAATGTATTTACTAGTTTTCAGTGATAGCATCATTACGCGTGACTGAAATGAACAAGATGTGTTAATGAAACACTTTGACCCGGTTGCAAAAAATGGGACATTAAAACTGTACTGCGCAAGGCATGAGTTAATTACATGTACACTTTGCGAAGCACTTACATCTGTATGTCTTCAATGCGCAATAGTTAAGGTAAATGTTTAACTTTTCCAAATGAAGGTCAAAGGCCACGGTCAAAGTCACATGGTCAAAAATTTTGGTATATCCAGCAAGGTCTTGTCAAAAGGAACACACATGTCAACTATAAAAAGCCTTACCTCTTACGGTGCAATAGGTATGGCCAATTTTAAGTTCTTTTCAAATGTAGGTCAAATGTCACGATCAAGGTCACATAGTCAAACATTTTGGAATAACCGGAAAGGTCTTATCACAAATAACATATAAGCCAAACATGAAAGCCCTACGTCTTCTGGTGCAATAGTTATGGTCAATGTTAAAGTTGGCAAAAGACAAACAGACAGACAAACAGGCAGCACCAAAACAGTATGCCCCCGATCTCTCCATGCTAGGGCATAAAAAGTCATGTTTTATCGTGCTACTTATAAAATATTACGTCATGGTGATTGCTATCTATCGTTTTTTTATTATCTATCCCTTTGATATATATCTTCTTTACATTTTATTGGGTTTATTTATCTATTTTAAACTACCAGTCTTCATACAGCCATTCCTGAAGCATCGCAATATATACAGAATACAGTGTCAATGCCTTAAAATATAAGCTGTATTTGTGGCGAGGATGATGAAAGGCAAAAGTGTTGATCCTCTGGCCTCAATTTTGCCTGGTAACATAAGCTAATATAATTTCTCTGCGCGGAAATAGAGTTCCAAACTTCAACGATTTTGTGAATTTTTGTACATAGATTTGTTCATCATAATATATAAATCGCCTATTTCAACAATTATTTACATCGTTAAACGTAATATATAAGTAAGTTCAGAGAGTAATTCTGTCGAATTAATATATGCGCTAATATTCAGCTGGGTTTTTTTTTTGTACTTTCGAATACAGCAAAAGTACATTTGTATTTATAGCAGGTGTGTTCCGACAATGACAGTTATAAACATTCACGTAAGATATGTCAGCAGGTTCCTGAATTGTGAATCTATCAAGTGGTTGTTTAACCTCGATATGAAGACCATAACAGGACTCTGAGAGTTTTACACTGTAATCACGTGGGTAGCGTTTACCGACACCATGTATACATACAAACATGTACATATTGTATATAAGTAATTTCGTTCACCCTATATCGCCAGTCTTAATAAATGTCACGTTCTATTTAAATTCTATTATTCTATAATTGGTCCTCACTGGTCAGGACACACTTTGTCAGACTACTGTGTTGATATATATGTGTCTGGGCTTGTGTAGAGAATTACCTGTCCCCAAATAGATCAATTTCTGTCTATTATACTATTATAATGATATAGAAGGCATGAGGTATCTTAGCTTAAGCCAGGAGTCATATAGAACGGGAAACGGGAAACCTAATCTAGGGTTAAGAATATCTGTGACAAATTATATATTATGAAAGGGATTACAACTTTGCCTTGACGTAATGTTAAGCGAGTGTAAACAGCATACCTGTCTAGATTAATTGTGTAAGCTTATACGGATTTTTCTATATTAACATAATATTTCTTCAGTAAACACTTGATTACAGATTACCCATTGACTTACTGCAAATTGTTTTGTGACACAATTTGAATGTACATAGATATGAATTTGATAATTAATGACGCTAATGACCTCTAGTTCTCCATCACCATACTTTATCCCATCTAAATCAATCCCCCTTAACCTCCTATCTTCCTATACAGCTCCCCCTACCCGCTTTATCTAAAAAAAACGCCCATTCCAGTCGCTTTTTTTGCACAGTTGATTGTATACCCTCCCCCTCTCCCGCCACTACACCATCGTTGCAAATCCAATTTGTCAAAAGACCATAATTACATATAATGTATATGGAAACTCTTCGTAGCTCAAGAGAAATTGATCCGTGGTAAGCAACCAACAATATTTCACACCGTTTACTTTAAGAGTCTGCTTTACACAGTTTACCGATACAAGCTTGAAATTGTACTCACGGCTATTTGGAAAGATGTTCCGAGGAAGCCGAGTTCGACCACTGCATCACGAAATTGGTGGACTGTAAGTTGCCCATTGCTGAATGTATCAGCTTTATTGAAGAAATCTAAATAGGACTTCATGAGTTCAGGGGTGATATATTTTGAATATTTTCCCTGTTTTCCACAACTCAAAGGCACTCTTTCGTCGTCCAGACGTGTTTCACCGCCGCCTGTCTGATGTTCAGCAGTCAGGGGTGTTCGCACGTCTTCGTTTTGCTTTACATGTCCCAAAGGTGTTGTCAATACAGGGCTCAAAGACGCTCGTGTGTCTTCAGTCTGTTCTCCAGACCTCAGAGAAGTTCGTCCGTCGTCCGCCTGTTGCTCAGGCCTCAGAGGCGCTTGTCCGTTGTTTGTTTGCTGTACATGCCCCAAAGGCGCTCGTCCGTCATCCGAGTGCTGTACAGGCCATTGAGGCGCTCTCCCGTCATCTGATTGTTGTACATGCCCTAAAGGCGCTCGTCCATTGTTTGTTTGCGTTACACCCTCCAGAGGCTCTCGTCCGTCGTCTGACTGTTGTGTGGGCCATTGAGGCGCTCGTCCGTCTTCTGATTGCTGCGCTGACCCCAGATTCGCTAGTCTATTGTTTGTTTGTTGTACAGGACTGACAGGATTTCGTCCGACTTTTCCATCATATCGGAGTTTATCATCAGATAACTGTGATGATTTCTTTTCCGAGTCCAGGACAACATCCGGGGACTCCTGATCAGCGCTCTGCTTTCCGGGAGACTTGCGGGTACTCCCTATTGATATTTGACACGTGTATCGTTGCTGACGTGTTGGCGGCATGCTATGTCCGGTGTAAGAGAAGTTAAAGCGGCTACCAAGCAAATACCTGTGTAATTACACCAACACAATTGTACATATATATGTCCTTCTTCCCAAATAAGCAAGGTTCTCCGTACAGGTACATGCCACTTGTTCTATTCCAGACTATATGTAACCTATACGAGGTACCGTGTTCTCGGATAATTATCTACATGTATACGTGCCTACATTAACACCACGTCCAGGATAAGAGAAAGTTACCCGTGCAGTTACCCTGTTAAAAGAAATAACTCTCGTCTTCCAGTACAGGTAGTTTCCCGTGCAGGTACCCTGCCCTCGTGTTGATATGTGTATGTCTACATTCACATATAATTAAATGCCCACATACTTCGAGTAGAGCTTACACCGAGAGAAACATTAAATTCCCCTAGGATTATACATCATATCAGGGCTATTCAGATCATAACAAAGAACCCAGATCGACTACACAAATAATCTAAATATGTTAAAAATACTAGTCAATTATTGACACTACCGCTTAAGTGTTGAGCAGCTAATTACCTTACCATGGGCCATTTAACGAAGAAGTCCCTTAGGAAATGAATGCTAATCCTCGGTAGATATCCATTTAATACGGTTTATATTATCTACTGTGATACGTTGTTCTTATTAAAGTTGCTTAATCGATAATGACGTATAAACAACATTTTGAGTATCTGTGTCTCACTGATACATATCAAAATGCCGGATATAAAACGGATACATATCAATGTATGCCACAGACACAGGGACTGACACTTATTTTCTCTTCATATCTATTTTTTTTCGCTGTACCATAAACATCACAGTGATTTGTTGGTGTGGACACAATCGGAGTTCCATAACTTAGAATGAATTTAGTTTGTACGTGTAAAACAATATCGGGGGACCGGGTGAAACAGCCGATTGCAGCTAAGTGTTTAGCATTTTTCTTGACAGTGAATATTTTGGCACTTTTTACGGAAATGGGTATGCTTTCTGAAGCTTCTATGGTCCTTTATAAAATTTTATATTGCATGATCGTTGTTAAACGTAATTCTTTTGATATTCTGATACGATAACTGTAACTAAAAAAATATAACATTTGCATCTGTTACTGTTTAGAACTTTAAAAAAGTAAATAAAGTGAAAAAGTACGCACGAGAATCCTAGATACATGTAACTCTATAGCACCAGATCTTAAGTCCTATTGCAGACTGCTGAGGTGATAAAAATAAAATGACTCCCTTCATTGTCTGATCACAAAATAGTAACATTTTTATAAGATGACTTTGAAATAAACCGAACTTTGAAAGAATAATTGTTTTTCTTTCATTTCAGAAATAGATGACAGTAAGAGTTACGTCCCTTTACTAAAGAGTTAGCTATTCCTCATCATATTTGACCCATTCGGAAATAAAAGATGTCATGGGAATATTAAAGTTAGGTAAAGCCCCGGCACAGATGGTTTTAGTCACCATATGTTACTCCATATTGCTAAAACTATATGTAAACCTGTATTTGCTATCACAAAATTTGTAACATATTATTAGAGGAGAGGGCTTCAATAAGTTGTTATAGCTCGTGTCACGTCCTTTGGTTTATCTTAAGCAATAAACATGTCCAATGGAAATAAACTGTTACATTTCTTCTAAGGAATCCCAGCCGGGCAGGCGACCCCTTACCTTTTCACATGTCGTTCCGAGACTCGAACCCCGGACGGCAAGGTGAAAAACGGGTGCGATTTCACTGCGCCATCCGACCACTCTATCTGAATACCCATGGCTTGTAATATTAACGCTATGAATATATATAAACATATGTTCTCTGAAAGGCATTAACGTTATGGTAACTCAAAGAATAAAAATACTAAAGGATTTGCTTGGGGAAAGTGGAAAATCAGGAAAACAGAGGATGACGTACTTACACCAATTGTCCATCCATTATTAATACCCTCTTTTGTGAAACCTAATTCCTACACACTGTTATTAATTAAATCCTAACTGCGACTAGCCTTAATGTGTCGATGGGAAGCGAAGACAGTGCACTTTTGTCCATACCATATTAGGCACGACAACGAACGCCCAATTTCAACATGGTGATGATACTCAGAAACGGTTTCTAATAAAACCAGACACGGTTCGTTATTCGCTTTGTGTGTTAAATCGCAGTTTCTTACCTTCCTGTGTAAGAATTGTAAATGGCAATGATAAGATTAATGGATTCTGTCTTCTATGGTATGCTATAACTTGTACCCATTCTATTTGTTTATTTGAAGCGATGAAATAAGTTCACACAGACAACTCTAAAACAATTTATTATAGCTTTAATGTACATTATAATCATGATTTATCAGCATGAAATAATACATAGCACGTGTAAGAACAATAAAAATGAAAATTGTGAAAGGCAAACATTAAGATTTTAAATATATGAATTTGCATAGATTCCATATATGGCAGAACTGGTCTAACACATACATCGATATACATAGTCTTACACGGTAAAAATCTCCATGTGATTGTCGACATGAGACTCCTGGACTACAAGGTATGTTCTTTAACACTCTATCAAGAATGAATGGAGAACATGTTCGTAAATGAGAGTCACTTGGACCTTTTCATCAAAACACTTATAATTAAGGATTTTTTGTTTAGAAAAAAATGAAGTTATTCTAATTAAAATATTCATTATTAATATCGCTTTCCAAGGATTTTCATGATTTTAAGAGCTATATTTTAGGTTTTGCTTTAGCAATTGCTGTTACGATAAAATATGACACTTAATGATAATAAACAACAAATAAATCTCGATTAGGTTTATGATCAATTTGCCACAGGCACAATATCCCGTAGCAGTTTGTGTCTCAGCAGCCTTTTGTGGTTATGTCCTTTGGAAGAAGTTGTTTAAAGATTTTAATGCCATGGGTCTCCCCTGTTCAGAGATAAAGCACACATTTAAAGTGGCCTCAAAAATAAATCCAGTAAATACATTAGCGTTTTAATGTCCCATGTCACATTAAAGCATCCATTTTGTAGATCAGCATATATAGGGTACAACAATGTCACAGGCCCATATATAGGGTACAACAATCTGAGCCTTTTGGTTAATGACCCTGATATATAGTTGTTTAAAGATATTAACATATTTGACCCCTGTGACCTTTAAAGTGGGTCAAGGTCATTCATTTGAACAAACTTGGTAGAGCTCCATGCCAGTATCCTCTGTGCCAAGTATTAGCCCCCTAGACCTAGTATTTGAGAAGAAGTCGTTTGAATGAAAAGTTTACGGACGGCGCACGGCGCACGGCGGACGACGACGGACGAAGCATGATGACTATACAAAGTAAATAAAGTGAAAAAGTACGCACGAGAATCCTAGCTACATGTAACTCTATAGCATCAGATCTTAAGTCCTATTGCAGACTGCTGAGGTGATAAAAATAAAATGACTCCCTTCATTGTCTGATCCACAAAATAGTAACATTTTTATAAGATGACTTTGAAATAAACAGAACTTTGAAACAATAATTGTTTTTCTTTCATTGCAGAAATAGATGACAGTAAGAGTTACGTCCCTTTACTAAAGAGTTAGCTATTCCTCATCATATTTGACCCATTCGGAAATAAAAAATGTCATGGGAATATTAAAGTTAGGTAAAGCCCCGGCACAGATGGTTTTAGTCACCATATGTTACTCCATATTGCTAAAACTATATGTAAACCTGTATTTGCTATCACAAAATTTGTAACATTTTATTAGAGGAGAGGGCTTCAATAAGTTGTTATAGCTCGTGTCACGTCCTTTGGTTTATCTTAAGCAATAAACATGTCCAATGGAAATAAACTGTTACATTTCTTCTAAGGAATCCCAGCCGGGCAGGCGACCCCTACCTTTTCACGTGTCGATCCGATACTCGAACCCCGGACGGCAAGGTGAAAAACGAGTGCGATTTCACTGCGCCATCCGACCACCCTATCTGAATACCCATGGTTTGTAATATTAACGCTGTGAATATATATAAACATATGTTCTCTGAAAGGCATTAACGTTATGGTAACTCAAAGAATAAAAATACTAAAGGATTTGCTTGGGGAAAGTGGAAAATCAGGAAAACAGAGGATGACGTACTTACACCAATTGTCCATCCATTATTAATACCCTCTTTTGTGAAACCTAATTCCTACACACTGTTATTAATTAAATCCTAACTGCGACTAGCCTTAATGTGTCGATGGGAAGCGAAGACAGTGCACTTTTGTCCATACCATATTAGGCACGACAACGAACGCCCAATTTCAACATGGTGATGATACTCAGAAACGGTTTCTAATAAAAGCAGACACGGTTCGTTATTCGCTTTGTGTGTTAAATCGCAGTTTCTTACCTTCCTGTGTAATAATTGTAAATGGCAATGATAAGATTAATGGATTGTGTCTTCTATGGTATGCTATAACTTGTACCCATTCTATTTGTTTATTTGAAGCGATGAAATAAGTTCACACAGACAACTCTAAAACAATTTATTACAGCTACATAATGTACATTATAATCATGATTTATCACGCATGAAATAATACATAGCACGTGTAAGAACAATAAAAATGAAAATTGTGAAAGGCAAACATTAAGATTTTAAATATATGAATTTGCATAGATTCCATATATGGCAGGAGAACTGGTCTAACACATACATCGATATACATAGTCTTACACGGTAAAGATCTCCATGTGATTGTCGACATGAGACTCTTGGACTACAAGGTATGTTCTTTAACACTCTATCAAGAATGAGTGGAGAACATGTTCGTAAATGAGAGTAACTTGGACCTTTTCATCAAAACACTTATAATTAAGGATTTTTTGTTTACGAAAAAAATGCAGGCTAGACCATTCTCTGGTAATTAAAATATTCATTATTAATATCGCTTTCCAAGGATTTTCGTACTGATTTTATACCTTATCTATGTACTGATTTTATACTCCATCTATGTACTGATTTTATACTACATCTATGTACTGATTTTATACTCCATCTATGTACTGATTTTATACAATCTATGTACTGATTTTATACTCCTCATATACTAATTTTATACTCCTTATATGTATTTTATCCAGTACACATCTATGTACTGATTTTATATACTGATTTTATACCCATCTATGTACTGATTTTATACTGTACTGATTTTATACTCCCATCTATGTACTGATTTTATACCACATCTATGTACTGATTTTATACCCCATCTATGTACTGATTTTATACCCCATCTATGTACTGATTTTATACTCCTTCTATGTATATATATACAACATCTATGTACTGATTTTATACTCCTATATATATTTTATACTCCTTTTATGTACTATGTTTTATACTGCATCTATACTGATTTTATATACTCTCTATGTACTGATTTTATACTCCTTCTATGTACTGATTTTATACCCCATCTATGTACTGATTCTATACTCAATCTATGTACTGATTTTATACTGCTTCTATGTACTGATTTTATACTCCATCTATGTACTGATTTTATATAGGGTACAACATATACTGATTTTATACTATATGTATATTTTATACTCATATGTACTGATTTTATACTCCATCTATGTACTGATTCCCCATATATATATATACTCAATACTCCTATGTACTGATTTTATACTGCTTCTATATACCGATTATATACTATGTCTATGTACTGATTTTATACTCCATCTATATACTGATTTTATACCCCATCTATGTACTGATTTTATACCCCATCTATGTACTGATTTTATACCTCATCTATGTACTGATTTTATACTCCTAGTACTATGTACCCTGATGATATATTTTATACAACATCTATGTACTGATTTTATACTCATCTATGTACTGATTTTATACCCCATCTATATACTGATTTTATACAACTATGTACTGATTTTATACCGGTATCTATGTACTGATATATATACAACATCTATGTACTGATTTTATACCCCATCTATGTACTGATTTTATACTCCTTCTATGTACTGATTTTATACTCCTTCTATGTACTGATTTTATACTCCTTCTATGTACTGATTTTATACCTCATCTATGTACTGATTTTATACTCCATCTATGTACCCTGATATATACCCAACAATGTACAGATTTTATACCCCAGGTATGTACAATTTTACTACTACAACAATATGTACAGACTGATATATAGGGTACAAGGATCTTTAATTTCATCTTCTGACATTAATCATTAAGTTTTGTGGCGCTTTATATTTGTTGAATTCATAGTAACTGTCAATCCACATAATGATTAGAAAAAGCCTGAAAAAAAATAAGAAGGAAAAAAAAAAAAAATCCAAAAAAACAAAAACAAAAAAAACCCAATTTTTTTTTAAAAACATCAAATTTGAGACCAACAAAATGATATGATTTGACAGCATTACAAATAACAAGAAGTCATTTTAACTAGTCTTCTGAAACATTTTAATTTTTCTTTTTATATATTTTGCTTCAGAAATGTTGGTCAACATTCCGTAAGTAGATTTGACAATATTACAAATCTTTTATTTGTTGAACACTAGGTTTGATGTGATCTCTCAATTATATTTCTAGATCATCTTAAGTTCCCCCTTCCCAAAATCAAACATAATCAAATCTTTCATCATTTGTAGGCATTTGCTTTGTGTTTGGGGAGAAAGTTGAATCCCTCTGGGACTGGACCAAGCAACATCTCACTAGAAAAATAAAATAAAAACAAAAATCAATTCAGAAACATTACCATCTCTAGCCTTATAACTTCCTAAAGACAGCTTATTTAGTTGTCAAACTTGAGGATTTAAAAATTGCTGAGTTGGTCCCCAGACAAAATAAATGAATCACAAGTAGCTGTTTCAAGACAGTATTGACCTAATGATCCACTGAAATTGGTCTCAAAATGACCAGGGTGATTCTTTTCCATATAACTGAATTCACTTTTCAATAAACATAGAGTGACAATTATATTTCACTATTCCATATGGTATTTATACTCACTATGAACACGTACTGGTGCCAATTCCATGCTGATGAAATATTAATCAAATCCTACCTAAAACTTATTTCCTTTATTCAGTGGTGTTTCAGTGTTTGAAAATTATCATTTTTTAGTACAGCCGAACCTCATTATCTCAAACTCTTATGACTCGAAACCCTGTATAATTGAAAGTGTTTCATCAGTCTCTGCCAAACTTCACACTAAACATCTGAATTAGGTTAAACTGAATACTCAGATAACTTGAAGTTTTCCTATGGTCTTGCTGACTTCAAGATAACTGGGTTTGACTGAAGTGGTCGTTACTTTTGTGTGGTTCTAATTTTCTTCACATTTGCTGTTATATGTTATATGTTCTATGACAAACACAAATCACGGATCTAGAGAACATTTAGTCCAATGCAGATAACACAATAACCATATCAAAACATTCCATACTCTATCTATATACTCTCTCTCTATATATATATGTATATAATCTATATACTGATGTTTTACTCATTTTATACTCCTTCTATGTACTGATTTTATACTCCATCTATGTACTGATTTTATACTCCATCTATGTACTGATTTTATACTCCTTATATGTACTAATTTTATACTCCTTATATGTACTGATTTTATACTCCATCTATGTACTGATTTTATACCCCATCTATGTACTGATTTTATACCCCATCTATGTACTGATTTTATACCCCATCTATGTACTGATTTTATACTCCTTCTATGTACTGATTTTATACCCCATCTATGTACTGATTTTATACTCAATCTATGTACTGATTTTATACTGATTTTATACCCCATCTATGTACTGATTTTATACCCCATCTATGTACTGATTTTATACTCCATCTATGTACTGATTTTATACTCCATCTATGTACTGATTTTATACTCCATCTATGTACTGATTTTATACTCCTATGTATAGATGTTTTACCCCATCTATGTACTGATTTTATAATCCATCTATGTACTGATTTTATACTCCATCTATGTACTGATTTTATACTCCATCTATGTACTGATTTTATACTCCATCTATGTACTGATTTTATACCCCATCTATATACTGATTTTATACTCCATCTATGTACTGATTTTATACCCCATCTATGTACTGATTTTATACTCCATCTATGTACTGATTTTATACACCATCTACGTACTGATTTTATACTCCTTCTATGTACTGATTTTATACTCCTTCTATGTACTGATTTTATACTCCATCTATGTACTGATTTTATACTCTTCTATGTACTGATTTTATACTGCTTCTATATACCGATTATATACTCCTATGTACTGATTTTATACTGCTTCTATATACCGATTATATACTCTGTCTATGTACTGATTTTATAGTACATCCATGAACTGATATTATACTTTATCATGTTCTGATTTTGAAAGACATACAGATGAAATAAGACCATTGAAAATTAATCAATTTGATATTTGTGTAAAATGATATACAAAAATCAATCCCATGAAATTCTAAAGATTTGTTTCATCTGCAAATTTTTTATTACAGCTAAAAAGCCAATGATTACAGTATTTTGAAATGAGAACAGGTTTTAAAGTAAAAATCAGAAATTTGTAGTATCAAGTTTTATTAGCAGCGAGTTTTATCACTTGTCAAAATAAAACTTTTAAACGTGCGTAATTTTTTTTTTCTTAGCACGACACTAATTAAATATCTTTCTTTTAAAAACTTGATGTAAAAATGATCATTAAGAAACCTATCACACCAAACTCTTCCATTAATAAAAATGTCAGTTTAAAATTTACTTCAAAATATGATAACATCCTTAATGTGACAGGCAGACACAAATTTATCTAGATCAGTCATCACACACATACCTAATCTTAATCCAATCGCCACAGTTGGAGCTTGCCAACAACGTCTCCAGGTCATTACGACCTACATAATATGGTGGCCTCTCGTTGATCTTCTGTGGCAGCTGATCCAGCACGCCAACTGGTATGTACCTAACAGCAACAAAAGGTTTCAGACATACAATTTTTTTCAAATATCAATATTTCCAGACATCTTTTTTTACTTTTACAATTTTAAGAAATTTTCTTTTGAAAAGACTCCTTTTCTACATTTTATTTATTTTCACATTTCAAGCACAAATTACTATTAGTTTTTTTTTTCAATTTCAGTCAAAACACTTGATTTTACTTCAAAGTTTATGACATAAACACTTACAGATTGGCAGTTTGACTAGGACATTTGAAAACAGCTTTAATATCTAACACATCAGTAGGTATACTTGCTTTGAAATGCTATTGCCCTAAGAGAGTGCATTTCTTAATAGCTGAAATTCAAAAAAAATCAATGAATGATGATAAATGCTAGTTGGAAGCAGTACCTGGACTTTGGAGATATAAAATCTAAAACATATCAATTCAGAGCAAATTCACATTACCTGTACAGGAATGACAGCCATTCCAGAAGAAACCTTCGAGTGTTTTCCACTCCCTGGTGATCAGAGCCCCAGTGTTCAAGTCCATAGTTCACATAGGATTTCAACATGTCAAACCTCTCGTTAGCCGAAATGTCCCAGTGGCGTCTCTCCTTCATCTCTGTAAAAATCCACGGTTTGATCAGTGCTCCCCTGGAATACAGAGATGTATTCGTTAATGATAAAATACTTTTCTTGTGAAAGGAATTGCGATGTATGACCTCAAAAATGTCTTTGCCAATTGCAGACTTATTCCTATAATAGCCATCTTGGATTCCATGACAGTATTTGGTCTAACACCTGAGTCAAATTTTAGTTTTTAACAAATGACAAGCAAAACTGTAACAAAACTGCTTTACCCAACATCTAGCATATAGATTAAAGCCTGCAGAGTACTGTTTGTAGCAAGTGTGGATTTAATGGAACATTGTTGAAATTTGAACTAATCCAACTCTTAGGGCCCTGGGCACTGAAGTTTTCAAAACATTGTTAAATGGTGGACTACTGTGACGATTATAGAAAAAAAATTAGCATCATAAAAGATTTTAACCACTCTGACTTTAAAAGTTTGTAAAGCATATTCATTTTAATATGTTTAGTAGCTTTTTTTTCCCCAGTCACTAGCATGCTGCTGGGCCCAAGCTTCCCCTCTTGAATATTGAAAGAAACCATTTTCAGATTTTAATATAAGTGATCCTTGTCACCATGAAAGCAGTCATTCACTTTAACAAGCTATTTGTCTAATATTACCCTGGACCTCTTAGTTATTGAGAAGTTTTTTGAAGATTTCAACATGTTCGACCCTGTGACCTTGAAAGTAAGTCAACATCATTAATTTGAATAAACTTTGTAGCCATTGGTCCTAGCATTCTAAAGGCCCAATATCAGACCTCTGGGCCATTCAGTTGTTGAGAAGAAGTTGTTTGATGATATTAACAAATTTGACTCCTAAGGCCTTGAAAATGGGTCAAGGTCATCCACTTGAACAAACTTGGTAGCCCTTCATCCCAGCATGCTTCAGGCCTAATATCAGATCTCTGGGCCTTTTGGTTATTAAGAAGACATTGTTTGAATATTTTAACACATTTGAACCCTGTGACCTTGAAAGTCAGTCAAGGTCAAAACATTTTATGTATAAATGAAAATATTTTGATTTTTAGGCTACTAATACAATACTAATTTCAATTTTCTCATAATTTAAATTGCATTACTAATTAATATGATCAAATGTCACTACAGGTAATGGATTCTGACTTCCTATTTATAAAGCAACTTTGATTAGAAATATTAACACCTAACACATACCATTATTTTAACAACTTTTGGATAATCTTGCTCTAAAATTTTGTGTTGAATATCTAAATAAGGTCTTAAATTGAGATATTGTAAGATAAATGTATGAGAAATAGGAATCATCATTGAAGCCTTTTCCTAATTTACAATTGATATGTGTGGAATTAAAAGTTAACATCATCAACACTAAAAACATCTACGTTGGTTACCTGGCAACCATTCCTCCGCTAGCATTGGTTTTAAGACAAGCATCTAGGTCTTCATACGATAACAGGTCCCCGTTACCTAGACAGGTCAAAATCACAATGATATATAAAAAGTTAAGGTAATCTTATAAATGCACAGGACATACAATCATGCGCTCACCAATACTCAATGTAGTGAAACTTTGGTATATAGACAAGACACCGAATAGTACAGCAACAACGAGCTATTGGTACTATACAGATGAAATACCCATATCTTGTCACATTTTTGTCTTGTTGAAAATATCTTTAGCTTTAAGAGAATTCAGTTAGAAACACAAACAAGGGATCCTAGAGGGATCTTGATGCCCACCATTGTTTGATCTTTTTTTGTTCTTTGAAAGTTGAATTTTTTACCTTCTTTTCTTTTCTCTTCTCTGTTTTTGTTCTTAATGAGAAATTTAAATATTTCTTCACAGAAATAGTGATAATAATCTTCAATTGCCAAATCTAAGATGGCTGCCTGTTGGTTTTTGTTTTTGTTTTTTTTTTCCTGATCAGTCCCAAAATCAAACTGGTACAACTAGGACCAAGTGGAGCCAATATAAGAAATTAGAGAGAGATCCATCATGAACTTCTCAAGAAATAGCAAAAACAAACATTCAAAGTCAAAATCCAAGATGTTTACAAATGGATGAACAACGTACCATGGTATAAAAAGAATATTCATTGTGCAATCAGTACAAAAAATATTTTACCACAATTTTATATTTTCATTGCCATCGTTTAACCCATTTTGCACTCTAAATCATTATCGAATAATGACTTACCAAACACAGGCATGGGGCCGCCTAGTTTTGCACACTCATCAATATAATCCCAGTCAGCCAGTCTAGTGTACCTCTGTTCTCTGGATCGCCCATGGATCTGAGAAAACAACAAGGATGAAGGGCTGCATGGATACATATTCTTATGATCACATACACTTAAATAATCTGAATGACTCCTTGTTTCCACATATAAAACTACAGCAAGAGATTATACTGAAATTTGAATTTCTGTTCACAGTTTTGACATTTCAAAAAAGTTTGCTCCAATCTTTCAAAATATCAAGTGCAAGTACCTAGAATTAAGTTATTGGTGGTCGTGATGTGTGGTGGTAATGCTCTTGACCTTTACTTAGCTGTTCAGGGATTGATTCCCCAAGCAGATGTGAAAAGGTTAAGGTTCCCTGCCCGAATATGTGGGTTTTCCTGGGTACTTCAATTTCCTCCCATGGTAAGACCCCTCACACTTATATCTACACAAGAGTGATTAGTAAAAAGTGAGATTACTTGTTTCATTTTTTTGATCAAAGGAAATTACTGAAGTAATTGACTTGAACAATTTATCATCAAAACATTACTTCATCACAGAGAACTTGGCTTAACTTCACTACTGTAAAACAATCTATCACCTTCTATAGGTAACTCTCTGGAATTTACACTAAGGTTACCTTTACCTCTATGTCAGACACATAGACTAGGTTCAGGCTCTGGATTTCATTTCACCAAAATCAAATTGAAACAGGATGTTTGTGCAAAAACAAGTATCACTTAGCTACATATGTTAACCATGTAGATCGAAATATACTTAACTCATATGGTTTTCTTTATTTAGAATAAAAGCAACTTTATCCATTAAGCAATTTCTATAACTATCAAAAATACATTTGAAGTCAATTTACCAGGTAAATATGATTATATTTTTTTTAATATTGGCCATGGCCTGTGTATATACTTACTGTTACCAAAGAAGCGCCCCATTTTCTGAGTTTGGGTATAAGGTAATGGGCGACATTTTTATTGTCAAATATTCCGGTCCTCATCTTCACAGTGAGTGGGATGTCTAGTACAGATTTCATACAGCGTACGACCTGCTCAAACTTGTTACTCTTTCCCATCAGTGCACACCCTTCACCCTGTAACATATAGAGCCAAGTTTACTCCTTTGCCAATTTTTTTTATACAAAATGCAAAACAGTCTTGTATCAATCATCTTTTATCTAGCCAATTAGAAGACAGAGAACATGAAAATAATAAAAAAAAATCACTGATCAATTCGTACATTCCAGTGATCACTATTTAGTCATTAAAACATGAGAATACTGAAGTTTCAATCCATAATATTAGCCAACCATTTTTTAACAAACTCTACAAAATGTGCAATCCTGTCACACAGTTGTGCATACGATACTGTATAGCACGTGTGTGCCCACAATTTGCCCACAATGTATGCATCAAGTTTTTTCACAACTGTAGATACATGATGTAATCTTTATATTTCCCGAATCATCAGAAGAAATACGTTTTAAAGAGACAGATTTCCCTGTTAATGACGTAAGACCTGTAGATAATTAAAAACTCACAAAACAATAACAATTTCAGAGAAAAGGAAAGCAAAGAGTTGCATATTCTATTTGAAGAAGGGAGGCAATACCTTTGTACACAAGTGACCAAATTTTTATCCTCATCCAAAATCACATGGACATTGCTTTTCTACATAATAAAATTTAACACAATCAATTAATATTATGTTACCTTCTTAAAGACAAGATCAATGGGACAACCACAGTTGAGATCAACAAAGTCCACAGATAACTCATCATTGATCAGTTGACAGCACCGCGTTAAAGTGTCTGGGAAAGCACCACAAATCTGTCATAAACAAAAAGCACATCATTTAAAAGAATTTACTCCATATCCACTGTTGAAGCCTGCCCCTCCCACTCCAGGAGGCTGAGAACTAATAATCACACAAAATTAACTCCCCTTTACCCAAGAATACTTCAGACCAAATTTTGGCAATATATACAAGAGTAGGATTTTAAAGAACTAGCAAAATTCCCCTTTTTGGGTCTGGCCCTCATAGCCCTTGGGGCCGAGAACTAATATTTGTATAAAATTTGTTCCCTAACAAATGGATGCTTCTGACCACATTTGGTAAAAATCTGTTGAGTTGTTCATGACTAGTAGACATTTTTAGAAATAGTTGACTGATGCTAGACACAACCCAAAGGCATAAGCTCACTAGTCCTCCAACCAGATGAGCTAAAAAAAATACATCACATATGTTCATTTTAAGTTTTGTTATGAAAGACAAGTCTTGAGCTGATAAATACAGATCTGATGGATCATTGTGTTTCATAGATAAGACTAACACTGCTAATATACCTGAGCTCCAAACAAATCCTCTGACTCATGACGTTTCAGTAAGGCCCACTCTGACATCTGTCCTTGGAGGATGTTAGTGGATAGAGCCATCTCACAGCATGTGATGTCCACTCCCATGCCTTTACAAATCCTCCGAAATGGCAGGTTACCAACCTGAAAATTGAATGCATAACTAAATCAATCATCAATCTAGTGATTTAGTAATCACAGGTTGTTTACCAATCTGACAGTTCAATATATTAATGCACTTGCTATCTTCGACGTTTTTATTCATGAATAATTTTTATCTTTGCCCCTGATGTACAGTTCAGAATCAATACTCTCCAACATGGTGTATCTGTATGTATGAATCTTAGTGAGAATGCAGCATATATTATTGTCTATGCTCTCAATATATGCTCAAAAAAAAAAAAAAAAAAAAGAGAAACCCAGTATATCAAATTCATACCAACAAGAAAATTATACTCATAATCATATACTTACTGTTGTTAATGGTGCTAAATACAGTTTATTGGAAAAGTCAATCTGGAAAAAATAGGAAAAACAACAATAATACTAGGTGGACATGCACAAAGTGTTTAGTTGCATGTTTATCTGGTATTATGAATTAACACTGTGTACAATATATATAAACCATTATTTGTACAGTGATAAAGGCATTGAAAGGAAAGTTTGATGATATGAAAATACTTTTAAAACAACTGTCAAAAAATGAATAAAGCATAATGATATGTTGGACATGAATATGCCAATGTCAGGCGTTTTACTTTCAACTATTAGTTTTGATTCACTTCCTTAAATATTAATTCTATGAAAAAGTGGAGTTTTAGTTCAAAAATACATAACTAATCAAATACTGGCTCCTCTTGACTGCAGCATCAAACCTTTAAAGTTGATCATATTACACCAACTTAATGACAAATGGGCCTTTACGGTCATCTGACTATAACGACTTATAAATGATATTATAGCTTTTCTGGTAGTGATAACAACTATCAAAACATTAAAACAATTCTAAATATCAGACGTAACAGCAACATCTTCTTAATTTCAGTTGCACATCATTCCCAAAAAATTTCTGCCTTATGGCCACAGAGGAAATAGAGAAGTTGAAAATGGGTTATTCAAGATAGTGGTCATATTTGATTTCAAACAGCAAAAATATAACAAAATTTGGTTTAGAGCATTTCAGGATCATTTTTGGCAATGTTGAGCTTAATCCCAAAAGTGGACTTTGAGATTTTTAGTGAATGCTATAATTCCTCAATCATGGCCTAACACCAATATTACAAAAAAAGTGAAATCCTTTTAAAAGTAATATTTCAAAACCACATCAATATGGCTAAAATGCTAACCTTGTTATGAGAATTGAATTTAAAAATTCAAGCACGGGTTTACAATTTGTCATATCAACAATAAATTCCATACCAATTTTTTCTCCTGTGGTCTCAGTCGTATGCCATCAGCATCTGATAAGCAAACTGATGCATCTGACTGTTTTGTATCTCTGCTATCACTGGACATGTCCAGATTTGTTGTCTCTGACACTGCTGTCCCATTGTCACTTTTTACTGCTGTATTGACTGAAGAAGAATCACTCATTTCTGTTTTCTGTACCTCTATACTGTCTCCGTTGTTTGCTTTACCATCAGTTACTGAATCTACTTTTTTCTTTTCTTCCAATTGTAGTTTTTCTTTGTCTATTCTATCTCTAACTTCTTTCTGTATCCGTGCAGTGTTTTTATTTGCTTTTTCAAAGTTGTATTTCTTTTTCCACAGTTTATGCTGCAGCTCTCTATCAAGAACGTTCCTAACCACTTTTCTGTTCTTCATTTCTTTATACAACTCTTCATTGATAATATTCTGGAAATCTTCCGTGATATGACTTTTGCCATAACGGCAGGATATTCCATATTGACATTTTCCATATTTTTCAAAAATGACACAAACTGGTCCTAAATCTTCTGGTTTTTCAGCCATAAATTTCTTAACATCATGACTGAACTTGCACTTTTCCCCAAAGCGACACTCCTGATCATGTAACACAGCTGGACACATCTTTTTAGAACTGTCCTGTCTTTGATGAACTGGTCGATTTTTGTTTCTGCCCTTTAGTTTTATCCTTTTACTAGGCGAAGGGCCTCCTTCACTATCTTGGGATGCTCCATTTTCTCTCTTACCTAGATTAACTAGAAAAGATTTGAAACTTTTGAGCCAACTATTATCTTCTTTTCTGCTTACACTAATTCCACAGTCAGTTTAAAAATTTCACACAAACAAAAAGTGACCAAAGGGAACATACCAATGAAATTCTAAAATATCTTTATCTATACGAATAACTGATGGTTGCCCACACAAAATGGTATTTGAAACTTAATGGTTTTACTGTACAGTAGTGGGAAATAAATCCAGATTTCTGTATGGTACATTATGATTTCCATCCATGACATACCTGTATCTTAATGTGTCATATGCACAAAATTATATTCTATTAATTCCCTCTTAACCTACTACTGTTTATGTATGCTATTTTGTTGTCACTTTAATCAACCTTGGCAATAAAAAACTACTGAATCACTTATGAGACATGACACCAAATGACCACCCAGAGAATAAAGGGAAGTAACTCTGTCAACAGAGGGACAGAGGAAAAGATTAAAAAATTATGCACATGCACGTCTGCCAACTTTCCCAATTAAGCCAAGTTTCCTGATTTTCACTCCTAAACTCCCAAACATATAGATCAAAACTGCGGTAATCATCTGATTTAAGAGATCCCTCTAGGTAGATCATAAGTAGCCTTGATATGTTTGTCAAATCGGAACAGAATCAGGTAAGGCTGGCCACATAATCAAGGCCTCTCTAGATGAGTACACTGCCCAATTATCTAATTAGTGTTACATAAGTTAATGCTCACTAATCACTTCCCTTGCAGGGAGCACACTTCAGTAAACAGCCAACTGTTCCTTATCTTATTAAAAGTAGACCAATGGTCAGCACTCTGAAGTGGCCCCTGACAAATCATCAATTAATAGTATGGTCACAAATCACTACATGTCGTCTGCTGGCGAGGTTACTGCCAGTTTTCACTCAAATTGGGCCGGTGGCAGCTCAGTGGCAGACACAATCTGTAGACGGGCTTGTAGACGCAGCTGAAGTTTTAAGAAAATGTGAAAAAATTTTGTCTGTCACCGCCCAATTTTTTCCAATTGTGCCTGTTGTAAGGGCGCAGAGTCAGGCAGGTAAAATTTGACAGCTGCCGGCCTATCACCTAACTACCACTGGCTGACACTCTGATGATGTCACACACCCCTCGAACTCAAGAAACCGCATGGCACCACCTGTAACCTGCCAGGCAGCCTTTAACTGACAGTTATTTATGATCACTTGTGCAGATTTGTAAAAAATTGACTGGCGGCATGTAACATTAAGAATTACTGATGTCTAAATATCACATTCTGACTGCACTATGAGATTGGGTCATTATACAGAAGATCTAATACTTATTACCTTTCATATAATGCCTATGCAATCAAATAACGCATTCAACTAAAAAATAGGTTGAAAGCAATCTTTATGATGTAACATGTACAGTGTGCAGACATTCCTCGGTAAATGCCAATAATTTAACCATATCAGTCTTTAAAAAACAGCCCAGTTGGCATCCTGAGTATAAATCAAACCAAAGAAGCATTTCTAACTTTACATTTTGAACAAGTTATTGTATGAACATTATCAAATACTATCAATGTGTAAAGACGTATAGATACTTAACAAGGTATACTTTGCGTAAAGATTTCTTCCCTAATAAAAACTAGTTCTAAATTTACTTTGAAGCATTCATACCCATGAAAACACAGCAGAAAAAATGTAGAAGCATATGTAATACACTTTAATTTTCCTTTATATAACTTCATAAAAAGTATTTGTCATGTTAAGATTAAATTTCCAAGCCTTACCTTCCTTGCTTGCTTCTAGTTTTTCTTTTGTTTTGCTTGAGAGAAACTCTTCAGAAATCTTAATCTTGTGGTCAAGCAACAAAAATCTGTAATAGTGATTATTAGAATGTACAACATCCTGCCACTAGAACTAGCAAAACTTTCGTCTCTAGCTCAACACAGGGGATATTCCCACTCGCGGAAGCTAGCAAGGTAACCTGTACTCTTAAGTTCTAAAGTAAAAGTTGCTCATAGACATTCAATTTCAATATAACCAAAATTAAGATATATTTTAAGTAGGGTCAATGCATGCATTAGGAAAAATTGATACAGAACTAAAGTTATTGAAAGATTTGATATTCTTACTCTGGTTTAATTTGTGCAATTCCTGGCTTATCAAGGATCTGCTTAGCTAAGGCATCTCTTTCAGCTTGTGTCCGGGTTTCCTCGTGATTAACCACGCCTATAGAGGCTCCGCTACTCTCCTTCAATGTGGACATCGTCAAGATATTTCTTCCTGTTGCAACGAAAAATGAAGTATCAATGCTGATCCGTACTGACAAAGAATTCCATCTAAATGATGTATGTATTTCACAGTATTTGTGGTGCATCTGCACGTATACATATGTATTTGTTAACATTCTACGTAGCATGATGAAATCAGAATGAAATATTTATATATATTACACCTAACATATGTTCAGTTTCCAACGTTGCTAAGACTACACTTTTGTCGATTCTTGACCAGCTTACTACAGTACAGAGAACGTACTTGAGAGCCAGACTACTCGATTGTTTACCTTTACACATTTGCAATATTACCTTTTCTGTCATATAAACGTTCATACAAAAAAGGTATGTTAATGCTTTAAGCAAGCATCAATGACACTTCTTGTTTCCCACCAAACCATTGAATGCAGTGAGCACTTTCAGTCTCATGCAACTTTCCCAACGTGGTTCGCAATCTATGTGCCGTAAAGAAGTCACTTCCGGTTAGACCACATTTCAAAGATAAACGTCTTTTTAGAGTGTAAATTTTAAGATAGTTTGAAATACCACTAAGTAATTTATCTGATTATATACCTATCTGTACCTTTTATTTTGATTTGTTGTATTTTACGACTTTATTTTTTTGTCCGTTTTTATAAAGGTTATCTCCCTTGGCACTTTGGCTGGTAACATCATCCAGCTAGGCTGCATTTGTGTAACCCGGTTGAAACCGTTAAGGTAGTCTGGAGATCATTCCAATATACACTTGTTCCGTCTACTAACTAAATTCAAACCGCAAGATGTGAATGTTCTTTCGATAGCAATTTGAAATCAATTATGATGAAGTATTTGAATGTTTAGAAAATTCCCAGCCAACACTTATAAGGCACAATGATAAGGAATCTATTAGTGGTGATTTTTTCCAGAAAAATACAGTTTATGTAATATATTGTGACTTTAATAATCATTTCATGTAAATTCTAATATTTTTTTTTTTTCAAATTACAATGTATAACAGATTAGTCTGAACAGTGTTTACAACTTTATCCCTTTTTTTTGCTACCAAGTCAAGTTAACATTGTTTGAAAAACTGAAAGTTCCGAAGCATTTTATGATTTGTTAATTAACAGAACGGAAATTCTCAATAGCAAAAAGAAGAAGAAAAAAAAATAGGGTAAGAACATTCTGATTTTAAACATATAAGCACCGCCTTTACAAATCCGACTTAAACTAAATTGTCTTTCACCATATCTAGCCTCCAAACTCATTTTTTTTAAAGCCAAGATGATAGATCAGACAGTTCAAAATGTGCATTCTGTTGATCAGCATGCGCTCGCTTTTTGCGTTGGACAAAAATCTTTTTGCAAATCAGCCGGATGTTGGGCAACCTTTGACCACCTTCAGAAGTTTGTTGGGCCAATGTTGCGCCAACTTTAATATTATGTTGGGCCAAGTCTTGATTGCTGAGCATATTTGAAGTTTGGCCAGTCGGTTGCGCCAACTAACATTTTGCAGGGCCAATTAGCATTAATACAATCCTGTCTTTACGTACCATTAACAGCATTGATAGGTATTGTGTGGAGAAGTAAATAAAAAGTTGATGTCTGATAATAAGAAAACAAAAATTGATTTAAATAACATTTAATCATTTCATTTTCTATTCTATCAATTAAAATATTTCTGAAATTGTTTCAGTGAAACAATGCAGGTATGGAGCAATTCAACAATAATATACAATTAGAAAAAAATGATTGTTAATTTTATAGTAAATGTAAACCTCAGACTGTTTATTTCGTCGGATTTGTTTGAAATCTCTACTAAAGAAGCAATAATTCGGATGAGACCTCTATATACGAGAAAACATTTTATGTTGTTGGCATCTCTTACCAGGGTAATGAAACTCTAGTGTGATATTTAGAGCATGATTTAACAAATAGTTTTAGAATTCATAAGATTTGCCTCCCTTTACAAACACACACACCCACACATACTTACGAGAGGTGGTTTAGGAGGTCCATGATTGCATACCTGGAAACGAGTACCATGCTTTTGGACTGTTGAAAACGTTAGATAATTTAAATGGTTATTAATTAAGATAATTTAAAGCCATTCATCACTGCAAATTGAAGATAAATTGAAGAATTCTTTATGTGATTTTTTCCCTCATACCGAGGACAAAATGTGTAACAGGTAGAGGACCAAAAACAATTCTGCTACAAAACGTTGGTGCTACTCTACCACCAAGGTATTTATCAATCATTACAACTGTATTTCGCAGTAATGTACACAAAGCCTATAAAGCACGATTAAACTCGTTTTGGTAGGCTCACATGATGAAATTTGACAGAAACTACAATTTTATAAAGTGATCAAGTTGAATGATGCGCTGATCTTTGAATAAACAATTTGCAGGAAAGGGCGCTTCCCGCCCTTGCAGAAATTGAAAGTTCCGTTTTACTTTCATGATAATTTAATTACAGTGTCCCTATGCCAAAGACAGACCGTCCATCGAGTCAAGCCGTTGATTTTTTATGACCTATCTCAAGACTCCAGGGTCACTTGGACCATCCACTCATTTCTTTATATTGTATACAACCACCTTTCTGAAGTCAATATTTTGAATATTTGACTAACATTAAAATGTAAGTTTGTCAGTTAAATTTTGGACTGAAATGAATACGATGTAGATTTTTTAAAAGAAATAATCATTTCAAAAGTGTATATTTCGAAAATTATCAGACATGTGTAAGTCTTCTGCCTCGCCAACGGCACCCGCCAGGTAATCTTAGTCAACACGGGAAGTGCCACGTTCTCGAACGAGAATCAGGTATATCATCGGAAACAACACTTAAAACTGCCGAACTAACAATTATCAAACACGTCCAAATGCATATCACATAAAGAAACTGAATATTTCTCAATGAGAGCACTATGCTGACCAATAAACTACCGGATGATTTTCATCAACCTACATCATTCGAAACCCTGGGATATGAGTTTGTGCGTCAGATGTCGACATCTTGCATGAACTTCGTGATAGTGGGAACATTCCCTATAGTATCGAATCAACTGCGACATGTAAATACCATAGGTAGGGGATGCAGGGATGGTCCTCACCATGAAAGGAAAATTTACAACAGGAAGGTTGAAATTATCACGTTTATCATACGACTTGATGGTGAGCTGTCCGTGTCGGTTCCGTTGTAGGAAAAGATCGAGGTATGAAGCTGATGTAAAAGAGTCTGTGGTGTCTTTTATTTCAAATTCAGTTGGGCAAATACCAAGGGCATAGTCAATAAATTTCTTATATTTTAAAGACGAAACATCTTCGATATCATTGTAGATGAAGGACTTTGCAAGGTCTTTATGCTCTGATTATATGAAAGCTAAAACAAGTCAGCCAACAAAGGGGCGGAGTGTGTGTCCTAAGGTATACCAATCGTCTGTTTGAAGATCTTTCAACCAAAATGTTGTCAACCGAAAATTCTATCATCTGGATGTTTTTATCCTCCGTATATTTTCCTATATTAACACTTTGAGTGTTGTCTGTTGATATGCAACTACTGACTAAAACCGTTATTCATAGGGCTATGAAAACACTATGAAAACACCTGTAGCGATCAGCTGACTTAACGTCGCGTTTTGATTGGATAAAGTTGTAAACAATTAGCGGTCAGCTGACTTGACGTCGTGGTTTGATTGAATCATTCAGCTATTCCATTTGCCAGTTTTCTCGTTCGATAGCACTTTAATAAAAAAAAAATCCATTCAAGCCCTATGTGAATATGACGAATATTTTACGAAGTACACTTCCCTAAACTTCACAACTATATATTTCAAAATAATTAAATCCTATGTTTAATCTACCATTATATCATGACACGCTAATTTATCCCTATATCGGAATAATAATAGATGTGGACCTCTAAGTAATACACTCCTAGCTGTGTATCATTCTGAGACACTTTACCGTTAATCTATCAGTATATCACAGTATTGAAATGTGTGGACCTCTTAGTAATACACTCCTTGCTGTGTATCATTCTGAGACACTTTACCGTTAATCTATCAGTATATCACAATAGTAAAATGTGTGGACCTCTAAGTAATACACTCCTTGTTGTGTATCATTCTGAGACACTTTACCGTTAATCTATCAGTATATCACAATAGTAAAATGTGTGGACCTCTAAGTAATACACTCCTTGTTGTGTATCATTCTGAGACACTTTACCATTGATCTATTCGTATTTAACAATAGTAAACCGTGTGGACCTCTAAGTAATACACTCCTAGTAACACACAAGTGAAATGGTCTTCGAAACACATAAGTAAGGCTTTTTTGCATTTGCAGTGTGCATGCTAAGGGTATGGGTATGGGTATTCTATGCTAGCTCTCATTCGCGTTATTCAGAGTATGAAATATATATCAAACTTATAATATTATTTACCTATTTGTTTACATATCTTCTTACTTTGCATTTGTACTGGTACTGGTTCTTCTTCCTGATGCAACAAAAAATTGAATATTAATATAACTTATGATCATCATAGGCCATCCTATAGACAAACTTCTCACATAAAGATCAATCTCATGACTGTCCTACATCCTATTGGTTAATAATGTTAACGCGTTAAAGTGCTAACATGTTAAACATTAGGTTATCTTATTCAAAACTATATATTTACACTCCATGGCATTGCTACTATATGGCATTACCAATTTTGGTTGTACGTCATCATGACTACCATGACATCACGAATTGGCGGGAGATACCAGTGGCCCTTTTCACAAAAATTCTTTAATTTTTTATCGTAAGTCTCTATATACACTATGTACTTACGATAAAATATTATTGTAAGATTTTTTGTGAAAAGGGCAACAGTATAGTAGGTGAATGAGAGCAATTTAAATTGAATAAAAAAGAATATGCAACAGGACAAAGGCAAAGTTAATGCCCTTCATTAAATTGGCTTTTGTCCAGATGGGATTCATCAGCCAATGAACACCAACTGAAAGCAGTTCAATGCTTAAATGTACAGCCTTTCATAGAACATGAACCCCAAAAGGCAGCTAATCATTTTATTACTGTCTTATTATTAGCCCCTTATAAATGTACTACAGAAAAAGCCATGCTTCCTGAAATCACAAGTTTGTCAACGGTTGTTAGATTCAGGCCTAAGCCTATCTGACCCTCACGAACTAAAAAAGAAAAAAAGGGGGTTCAGTATCAATATTTCTTACCCTGGACAGTTTCCTCGCCAACTTCATGACTCATTTCAAACATTTAAAGCCTCGGTCGAAAACATATGTTGTCAGTTTCAATAAGTCCACAAAAGAGAAAACGTAGATTAAAAAAATACACTCATTGCCAACATATGAATAATCGTTGTGAAAATCTATGTTTTTAAACACACAGTATAAAATAACTTGGTCGTATTGTT